TTATTCCATTGTATATATTAAAAGGACTTTGTAATCTCAATGCAAATTAAAAGAAGTATTTTAGAAAAACTAACACACATATTTTACAAGTAATTAGATTAACTAATTTTTAATCCATATAAATTAATTATGTAGCTTCTACAAACGGAGGTTAGGTCTAATAGAAAGGGTTAGTCTTTTACAATATGGTGAATTAAGATTTGAATTCTTGCTGGAAGAAGTACTTATATTTAGTACCTGACAACGTCTTGAAACATGATTGCCCTTTGATAGAATGATACCTATGCCTAAAAAAATACTCTTACAAATGATATATAAAAAAAGTTATAATGATTCTTCCTTCAGAGGGAAAGAAAATGGTTGTGCCTTAGGTGCAGAAGAATAGAAAGGGGACAAGACTCATCGTTACAAATCCAGAAAGCCAACGAAAGCACAAAACCACCACCCTGCATCAGCTTTAGCTTTTGTTTCAGTCCCATGAAACAGTATAAAATATTATCTCTAACCAGAAAGCACTCCTGATATAATAGACTTATATATATATATATATATATATATATATATTCCACACACAGACGCAGAGCAAGCATCATCTTTGAGTCCAAACAGTTACTTTTTTTGGGCTGCTTTTTGCACCGTCACTTGCTTGCCGATTTCAACAATCGTAAGTCTCCTTTCTCAAGTTTTCTTATATTCTTCCTTCTGGGGTTTGATCCAAGAAAGCTATGATTCTTGAAGCTTTAGTTGGTTAGTTTATTTATATAAGAATATCTGTGCAAGATGCAAAAACAAAAAAGGTGAAATTCTTCAGAATAGGAACTCCATTGATGCTTCCCTTGAGTTGTAATAAATCTTGGCTTCTCTAACATTGTTTCTTCAAGCAACAACAAAGAACCCAAATCCATATTCTGCAGAAATAATGAGTGAAACAGCTCGCCCTTGCTGGTTTTTTACCTTCTTCTACTTGACTCTTCTCTTCTTCTTCTTCAGTTCAGGTATTATTATTTTTTTTTTTGGGTTTTTGATTCTGAATTCTCTGGTCTCTGTGGTAGCATTTTGTTTGATTTTACATCTGTAGTTTCAAGCATTGATTCATAGCTTGACTAGTGAGGAAAATTTCGGTCATTAATTAACGAAGAGCAACAAATTATTAGTACTTTTTTGTTTAAAAAAAAATAATGAAATTGTTTTGTGAGTAAATAAATTGTTGTTCATTGAAAATGTTGTTACTTCAGAAATATTAATTGAGAGTGCTGGCAGTAATATCTTATATTTAAAGGTGTTTATAGGATCAATCTGAACTGATTGAACTTTTTTCAGGTTTTGATCATTTTATGTATGATTTAGATATTATTAAGTGATTTATTTCTTAAAATAATATAAATCCATTTCAAGAACATACTTATTTTTTTTCCAAAAAAGAAAAGTCTGATGAATACATTCATCACCCAAAACATCATCTCCTTGCTCATTCGATTCAATTTGGTGTTAATTGAGTCAACTAAATTGGATTTGACACATGAAAATTCAATTTTACCTTAAATTTAAAATTTTATTCTATTTAAATAATTGCTTATTTGATTCAGTTGTGAACACTTCTATTTACTTGTGCGAGGGAGGGAAAAAGACTAGTGCTTCTTACTTCATCACCAAATCAATTATTCATGCTACATTTAAGCCTCAAATTAACAGAAAAATATCTATACCTTAAGCCATAAATAGCTCCATATAGTTGTGATCTTTTGAGCAAAACTTAATCCATCAAGTCTAATCTAGTAGTATACTAATCCCATTGGGTTTCAGGTTAAGATAGAACTCAAACCCAGATTCAATCTTCTTTAGACAGTAACCTCTTTAGACTTCAAAAAGCAAGTCTTTGAAATCCTTGGTTTCTGTTTGCAGGTGTAGTAGTGACAGCAAAATTATTAACAGATGAAGAAAACCAAGAAATTTTCTCAAGATCTGACTTTACTCAATTAGATGATGTTCCAGTAGTGAACCCTACAACCCCAGGGACAGATAATCCATACCCCACAGTGAACCCAACAAATCCTCAAACACCAGACACAACAGGGCAAACCCCAACAATTCCTCAAACACCAGACACAACAGGGCAAACCCCAACAATTCCTCAAACACCAGACACAACAGGGCAACCCCAACAATTCCTCAAACACCAGACACAACAGGGCAAACTCCAACAATTCCTCAAACACCAGACACAACTGGGCAGACCCCTCCAACAGTCCCAAACACAAACACAAACCCTAACCCTAATCCTCCTGCAACATCATCAGGAGGGGGTCAATGGTGTGTTGCAAGCCAGGGAGCTTCAGACACAGCTCTGCAGGTGGCTCTTGATTATGCTTGTGGCTATGGAGGAGCAGATTGTTCAGCAATCCAACCAGGAGCAAGCTGTTATAACCCTAACACTGTCAGGGACCATGCTTCTTATGCTTTCAATGATTACTACCAGAAGAATCCTGCTCCTACAAGCTGTGCGTTTGGAGGAACTGCAACACTCACTAGCACTGACCCAAGTAAGCATGCCACCACTCATAGATCTTTCTATGTTGTCATTTTCGGGGGAAAATTATATTTAAGTACTTAGTGTATATTTGGATAGTTTATATTTGAAGGCTAAACTATTTTCAAGTAGTCTTACCTTTAGAGAATCTATGAAGTAGGATTAGAATGTGAATAGAATCCTACTAAAAGTGGTTGGATTGAGTAGGAGAGACTTGGTATCCCTTAATCAAGTTCAAGAATTTGAACCTCGTGAATTGAAGAAAAATACATTAGAGAGCTACTTTCTATTTGGACCCAACAAAACAAATCTAAATTAGTCAATGATACTGAATACCAGATAGTTGTAAGAGGAAAAAGAAAGACTGTGAATAGAATCCTAGTAACAAGACCATAACATTTTAATTATTACCTTACACTGTTGCAGGTAATGGGAACTGCCGCTATGCAACTCCCAAAACACAAAGGTGAGAATCAATAGAACTTCATCTGGCAAGGAACAGAATTTGAAAAATGTGATTAACACTATACCTTATAATCCTTTCTTTCCCTCTCTGATTGCAGCATTAGTCCACCAACCTATGTAACTCCACCAAGTCCACCAAGTCCTATTATGACTCCAACTACTCCAACTACAACAATGGCTGGTGGTGGATCAACAGACTTTGGTTTGGAGCCAACAGAAAGCCCTAACTCAGCCACATCTCTTTCTTCTTCCTTGCTTTTGTTGTCCATCACATGTACCATCTGGGTCTTCCTTCTGGTGCCAAAGCACTACTAGATTGGAAAAAAGATTCAATTTTTCTTCGGGGCTCTGCCGCTCGCTTATCCACTCATTTTTCTTTATGGGAAGCAGAGAATCACATCAACAGTGCATATTTGTTATGGAAGAATTCTCAGTCAGGCTCAATCTATCGAAGATGAATAGATTAAATCAGTTATGAATAGAGAGATATGTATGCACGTCAACATTGGTTCAGACTGAAAAGTTTTGTCTGACATACGTATTTCTCTTTTTGTTTAATTGGTCTATGTGTCTTTTGGTATGTTAGGTCTAGTTAAGAATCTTCCTTTGTTATTTGAAGTTATGCTGTCAAAATTTATGCTATTTTTCATCGTTCAGTACCCTTTAGTTGATCATTAAGCAACAGAAGTTGTAGGATCAATCACCAGGCTGTTGAAGGCAATTTTCTGCAGTATTAGCGTAAAAATTATTGGATAATAGTTTTTCATTTAGAATTTTTGTAAGCCTCTGAAACCCATGTCATGTATCCCTCAGTTTAATAAATGAAGTACGTTAGTTACATTCAACAACTTACTAAAATCAAGTTGCAAAAATATCCTTACATGTCGAAAGTCTTGAACACTTCATTTATCTCTTAACTTTTCTTTTTTCACTTAACTTCTGTAGATTCTCGTCTAATCTTTTTTTTTTTTTTGGTGCCTAATTTTTCATTTTTCACTTACCCCTCAACTTTTCTTCCAAAATAATGAATAATGATCATGAATTATGTTGTTCCTCAACGTTAAGTCATGAAGTCAAGAAAAATTGAGTTGAAAAACTGGATTTCACAAGTCTGACTATCGATTTTCTTTCTCCTTTGTCAATGGTTGTTTGGCCATTCAACAATCATCTGATCTCTCTGCCCTGGGTAAGCTCTCAACGTACTAATCATTCAATGGTGTAAAAAGCCACACATCCTCGGAAGCCCAACTTCAAAATTTGGAGTTACTTTCTGTATTAATATGATAAAAAGCAACCAACAAAAATTAGTTTAGTTAGTAAAGAGTCAGCTTATAATCTACAAAGTCGTGAGTTTGGATCCTGTTGCCAATGTGAGGATCTTGTTAGTAGGTGATTAAAAAAAAAATGATAAAAAGCAAGCAAAGCCTCCTGATGCCAAAGGAAAAGGAAAAAAAATTTAACAAAAAGCCTTCAGTTCATTCAGAAGTTAAATTATTTCATGGAAATATATGTTGTCATTTATGCAGATAGTTGAAGTGAGCAAATATAGGCAGCAGATAAAACTACTCATACAAAGAATAACATGACAACAATTATAAGAAATCTTTGTAGCCTAGGCTGGGTAGTGGTAGGGTTAGCAACTCCTCTATTATTCTGTAAATGCTACAGCATCAGCCATATACACGTTTATGTATGCTTTTGTATCACTTTCTCATGGAAAACATGAATGCATGAATGTAGAAGGTCTAACTGGAAAACATCGCCGCCAGGCAGGGGCAAATTCTCCATGATCTCTAACACGAACTGATCACAGAAAAAAACTTTGATATTTACAGATTTCAAATTAGGATATGACACTTTCTCCAAGTATAATCTAAAGTGTTGCCCCATGGCTCAGACAAGAGTCGAATGCATATTGAACACTATACAACTTTATTGTTTAGATACTGATGCTTCATAGTTGAACCCAGAATTAAAAGTCGGTGCTTATCAGAAATCTGCCAGTTCCCCAAGCTGGGTTAGAGACTTATTTGCTGATGACTGTGAGGAGCATCATCAGGTGAACAAATCTAAGATGACATGCTTGTCTCTGCCGCCTGAGAAATCCTCTGGCTTTCTTTTCTTGTTCTAAGCTGAATATCAATGAGGAAGTAACACTTGTTCTGTTCTCTTACATAGTGGACATGGCCATTCATCCTAATGAGGATTTTTCTTGACATGTATAGCCCTAGACCTTCCTGTGTAGTCCATTTATTCCCACCTTCAAACATTTCCTGAAGAATTTCAGAAGGAAGACCTTGACCGGCATGGGTCATTCTGCATGGACAGGATAACAAAATGAGACCTTATTCTCTGTAAACACAAATATATATGTTTCTTAACTGTCACTTTAGAAAAATGATGGCTTTAATCAAAAAATTAATAATAATGATAAGATTTAGATTATTGAAACCAACTTTGAACTGTCTCAATTAGATCTAGACAATGTAGATGAGAAGTGCATATTCTACACATTTTTAAAGATTTGTAGAGTATCTGCACTTGCATCGAACAAAGAAATTTCCCCCACTTTTACAACCCAGTATCATTCGGAAATTTTTATTATTTCAAAAATATTTCTTCTTTGTAAAATTAAATGTTTGTTCATTTGTTTCCAAGTCAAAAGTATATAAATGGGGGCACAGATGTTATTTGATATTAGAGTTTGATAACACGAAATTGTCAAATCATTTATTTTCTTGAATATTTATTTTAGATTCTCCTGTGAAATTACAAAATTTTCCCCGGTGATTTTGTGAAACTGCTAAGAAACATCTTTTAGACATTTGATTTTTTCAGCCTATCTTAGAAAAATGTTTCCACGGGATATTTTCCCTTCAACCTCACCAAAAGCATTTTCACTTACATTTTCAATGAAAATGAAAACAGAAAGTATCAAACCATATAGACTCGATATATCTTGAACTCAGAACTTTTGTTATATAATATGATAGCAAATCTCTTAAGCGGAGAAGCATTAGCAACCAATTAACCACCTGTGCTGATCATCATATCAAAACGAGGGTCAGTTTGTGTACCTGAACTGCAGATGAATAAACTCACTTCCATCCTGTATTATCTTCAGCCCAGGTGAAATCTTTATTTCTACCCAGCCATTGGGAGATGGTGTGTGGCAAACCAAATTGATCAAAAAGTTAGACAAGACCACTTGAAGCCTTATTTGGTCACCGAATAGAGTAAGCGTTTTAATTTCATCAGGAATTTCATGAAAGAGCTGCAAGTTTCTTTCTCTTATCAAGATCATGACTTGGCTGACAATGGCATCTAGGATATTTCCCAGAAAAAACTCTTCTATTTTTAGCTGCAAAGTTCTGCAATATTAGCATTACATGTGAGAAAGTTTGGAATACTAATTGTCTTTTATACAAGTATTTACATAAATAAAAATATTGCAGTGCTAAGTAGATAATGATGCCTTAAACATCAGTGATAAGTAGTGATGAAAGGAAAGCACAATCTTATACAGAGAGTCCATGTAGGGTAGAGAGCAACAAGAGACACTCACCCTTCATCAATACTTCCAAAATCCGCATCCTCAATAATTGTCATAATTTGTCTCTCACAAGCATCACTAGTATCAAGAAATTGTTTCTGATTTTCTGAGACAGCTGTATTTTGCAGTAATTTTTGTGCAAAACGCAAACCATTTAAAGGATTCTTTATCTCTTGTAATATATAGCCCAATTCCCTAAACTCAGAAGGCCTTCCTCTGCATTGTGGCCTTTGTTCTTCTGAGGGCTGTTGCGGGTCTGGCGGTACAATCTGCAAGAAACAGAAACAGCCAATTATTTTACCACCTGCATCAATCCTCTTGTTCGCTGTCAAGCAAACCTCCACAAGTTCCTCCTTTCTGTTGAAAAATCTTATTGGCAACTTCTCAGAATCTTGGCCACTGATTCCTTGATATAATAAAATCATGAAACTCGTAAGTGAATCTTGACTTCTTAATCGACACAAACCTCCAAAGATCTCCCCGGGAAGCATTTTCCCAATAACTTCATCTCTTTTCCAACCAGTTAGCCTTTCCATGGCTGCATTCCATTCAGTGCAACAGGCATTCTCATCTGAAGCAAATATGGGTGGGATTAGTGGATTGGGACTCTGTATGATTGCTTTGTAATCACCTTCCAACTTGATAAATTTGTCCAGAACAGATTTCTCATGAGTGATGTCTTGACCCACAAAGCAGACCCCAACAACAGCATTTTTGTAATCCCTACTTGTGCAAGCATTTGCCTTAATATACACAACTGATTTTTGCTGATGCGGACCAAAGTGTTTCAACTTCAACTCAACATTTTTGTCCTCCTGACCTGGAGAATACATGACTGAATTATTAACCATAGCATTGTACAAACGAAACTTGCGTAGGAATCAGCTATATTTTTCTTCAATAAAGGTAGAAAGATAGTTTTGAAAAAATAGAAAGTAAAATAAACATGCAAATCATAGTTAACACTAGTGACTTGTTCCAACATTCATTCACAGCAGTCAGTGGAAAATATCTGAAAAGTTCCTATTTTCCCAGAGTCCCCGAAGTGCAAGCATTCACTCATGGGATAATGAGCTGGAAAGTCTCGGCAAAAGTATCATGATTTTGCACTTGCATAGGAAATGCTGCTAAATGAGGGCTAATGATGAGAATAAATGCCGTGAAGAACAGAAAGAACAAGTCAACTGGTCAAGGAAGAGTGGGCCACCTGTATCTTGTCACAAGATATGCATCTATTCATACTAAATTAATTCAATAGCTTTTGGAAACCAAGTGAGGTGGTCAGGCTCCTTATGGTTTTAACTAAGTTTCATGAATTGATTACTTCATATGACCATAAACGAATTAGATTCTAAAGATGACCCCTCTATCCAGTGGTGATGCAAGGCAATTAATCAGATATCCCATGGCATTCGGCTTTGATACTAATGTGAAAACTTGAGGTTTTTAAGATTTAACAGTTTTAGAAGAAAAGATTTACCTTCCAGGGCTCTTTTTAGAATATTATCAACGGTTTCCCGTGAGTCCTCAACCACAACTTCATTTACAAGAGATTTTCCCATAGCTTCGCTGGTTTGCAGACCTGTTAGTTCGGCAATTTTTGCATTCCACCCATTGGTTATACCAGCTGAATCAACACCAAAAATTGGAACTGTTGCTGTTTCAATCAATCTGACCATTTCAAATGCCGCTGAACTGAGTTCTTCTATCCCATTCCCGCCCATATCAGTGTCCTCTTGCTTCACATGAGTTAGAGCCTTAGGACCACAGTTCTCTGCATCTTGGAATGAATCTCTCATTATAAGCTGTAAAGAGTGAATAGCATTGATTTCTGACGCTTCCCATGGCACACTTTTGCTTTTTAATACTTCAAGAAATGCTTTAAATGAAAGTCTAGGGTTCATCTTTCCTCCATCATCTTTATCCTCTGGGTGGTGCTTGGCTCCTCCCCATTTGATTTCCTTAGCAGCATGCGACCTGAACCAGAACAAAAAATCCCTTGAATTGATCCTCGCTGTTGCCATGCCACAAACTGCATCCCCCAGTGAAGCAGCATCCGGGTAACCAGCATCAGCCAAACTATCTGTGCTCAAACCAGTTGAGTCCCCATGACTACTAAGTAGCCATTCTGCAATGTCTTTTACCTGTGACTCAGTTGGGGTTGTGCCTAATAGCCAACAGCTTCCACCAAAAAGCAGTGCAGCACCGTCACACTTCACAAGATCCATTATACTAGGAGATTGGGTGACAATACTAGAAGGAGCATCACGAAGGAGCATGTCACATAGTAAGGTTTGGGTTTTAAGAGTTCTCTTCTCTGCCATCTGCGATGCCAATTGCATCTCCATGTGGAGCTGCAATCCAAAAGCCTGCATTAAGAACTCACAAGCATAGCGAAGTGGGAAAGGGACATGACGCGGTGAGGTGTGGTGACAAACGAGCAATCCCCATAGCTTTGTGGTATCGTTTCCATTGACAATAACAGCCATAACCAGAGAAGCAATTGAGCCCATATTTTCCATGTACTGTGCGTGACATTGATGTGGTGACCTAAGGGTAGAATTGACCAAGCAGAGAGGCTGCCTTAACTCTTCACTTTGAATCACCTTAACTGGTTTTGCATGGCAATCACAAATCATCCTGACTCGGTTTTGCTTGAATAAGAAGCGAGCAGCTTGAGGGATATCCGTGGCAGGGTAATGCAAACCCAAAAAGGGCTCTAAATCCGACCTTCTGATTTCAGACACAACCTCCCCATGATCATCCTTATGGAACTTATAAACCATAACCCTGTCATATCCAGTGAGCTTTTGAACTTCTTCAACAACAGCATCACACAAAGCTCCAATATCTCCCCCAGGAAGAGATTGCAGCCTTGAAATTGCCCGTACAGCTAGTTTCTGAGACTGTACGGCGCCTGCAAGTGACAATGCATGATCACTAGACCTTGCAGGCTCCAAATCAACTACAATTCCCACATCAATCCGATGCATTATAGCATAAAAATGCCTCTGTGTTGTTCTGGAACAGACCCAAATGGGGTTCAGAAGCGAAATTTCCCTCGACGCTGCAGCTTTTGCAAGGGAAGCCCCAGAAGAAGGCGTGAAGAGAGTAGTAGCATCAACTCCAATCAGACTAACAAATCGTTTTGAATGAGATTTTCCGTTTAAACCCAACATTTCAAGACAATTCTCACTGTACCCAATTATCCGAAAAGTGGGTTCTTCAATCGCAAGCATACAACCAAATGGCTGAACAAGACCACCTCTTTGGATTCTTGACAAGTAAGCCGTCATTTTCTCGTCCGACACGGATTTCGGAGCATCAAGAATCGACCTTGAGTAATCGAACGACTTGCCCGACACACCAGATTGCTCATACTCTGCCAAAATCCCTGCGTCCGCGCTGTACTGAGCAATTGCTTTGTCTTTATCGGAAATTCTAGCACCGGTCTTCATGTTGCTCGCAGGTGACGTTGAGAAAGAGGAAGACGACGAGGTCGCGTCCTTCTCTATCTCTCTGCTTTCCTTGCTCATTCTTATAAGGCCTCTGATTCTCACAAGGGTTTCTGATTCTTCTTCAGTCAGAAACTCATGAGGGTATTGAATCTAAAAGGCTCCTTATAAGTATAACCCACATGGTTCAGAGGTTTCTGTGGTGTGGGTGGATTCCACACTGAGGATTGCTTGCACACGTCCTTATCATCATATCACAGCTTGTGGGTTACGTGCTGCTTAAAATCGTTTAAGCACTCGTATATGAGTATGCAATACCAAAAGCAAAAGCTTCGTAATCTGATATGACATGATAGTCTCTCTCTGGCCGGCTCTGTACGAGATATTGAAATTTGAAGAGGGAGAGCTTGACTCCCGCAAGCAAACGCAGTCTGTTTAGATCATGCAAAATTGGACCGTCCTGTGTTTCGCATGTTCACAGTCGTTGGCATGTTATGCGGAGTGTAAACTATTTTAACATTATTTTAATAGACTCAACAAACTGTACGGATATATAAAAGAAAATTAGTTGGCCAAAAAAAGATAAAAGAAAATTAATATTCTTTCCCGACTTAGCTGTGAAACTTATTCTAGTGATCCTATTTATAAGTTACTTTTAAAATGTTTTACATAAATTAAAAAAATTTTAAATTTTTTAACTCTCATTTAAATTTCAATAACTTTTTAACTTTATCCCTATTTAATATACAATATACCTCATATAAATAAAGTCAACATAATAATAAATGAAAGATAAAATTATATATCCATATAAAAAATTGGAGAAATTGCAAAAAAAAACATTGGAATTGTAAAAACGCAGATAGGGACCCTTGACAACTTCACTTTGGATTTTGACAAGAATAATATGCCCTCAAGTTGTCAAAACCCAAAGTGAAGTTGTCAAGGGTCCCTATCTGCGTTTTTGCAATTCCAAGGTCTTTTTTTGCAATTTTCTCTAAAAAATTTCTTTTAGTACCTTATAAATAAGACCAAAAAATATTTTCTCTCTCTGCCTTATAAATAGAACCAGAAGAGTATTTTGAAATCAGGAATATTAAGAATATAATTAAAGTTGATTAACACCTTTTTGTCTTTTAACAACCGAGGTATCTATTAAACAAAAAAAAAAAAAACAAGTGAGGTATGTTTAAAGTATTTTTTGATCCCTAATTGATTATATGTATCTTTTTCCCATATATTTCACATTTTTTCCACTTATTTCGTCTCTCATTTACGCTTTTAGAAATAGGAGTATATTTAAAAAAATAAATTTTACATATTTATTACTTTTAACTAATTTTAATTGATTTAATTTGATGATTTATTAATTTATATGACCTGTGAAAAATTACATGGTACTTCGCTATCAAAAAATTATTTAAATGGTACAGGCAACTTTTTTGCCCAATATGGAACAGACAGATCTTGTTTGATGATTTTAATTTTTCTTCATCACATTGGTGGAATACATTGGCCCATGTCTCTGTCTTTATTCCTCTCTGTTACTGATATTCTGCAACATTTAAAAAAAAAAAAATCAAATGCATTGTTAAAATGAAAAGGATGTATAAATAGTTGATGACATAAATTATCAATAAAAAATTGAATAAATATTACAATATATTCAAACTTTTGTAAAAAATAATTTTTTAAGAAAACAAAACTCTTCCTTATATTCCATAAAAAACACATAATTTGGTGATGCAAAAGATTCGGATGAGTGGATATAGAAAAGTGTCTGGTCAAAAACAAAAAAAGGATATAGAAAAGGGACAATATGTAAAATCATAAAGCAGTGATGATCGGCAATATATCTGTGAACCTTATTCTTTCTAGATTTCAATATTACTGATATTTATAATAACGACTAGAGTATATATTTGGTCCTTTAACTTTATACAAGATTTTAATTTGATCCTTTAATTTTAAAAAGTATATTTTTAATCCTTTAACTTAAAAATTTTTTTTAAAAATGATGACATTAACATCTTAAAATGTTAATAAAATATCTCAAATGCTAACATATTACATTTTATTTTCAAAATACCCATGATTGTTACAAAAAATCATCATTGAAGTCTAATTAGGGTTAAACGACCAAATGTGTACTTTTTAAAGTTAAAAAACTAAATATATATTTTAGCCTTATAATAACTAGTTGATTAATTTAGAAAGATTAAGAAAGTTAAATAAATTATTTAATTATAACCTATATTATATGATTTTTTTAAAAATACTTATGTGTATTCATATCAATTTATAGGTCAAACAAATTAGTTTGAAAAAAGATAATAAATAAAAATACTTTAAAATAATTTTTTAAATTTTTTAAATTTTTTAAATTAGTTAATTAGGTCTTCATATATTAAGGACCAAAAATAGTATATATGTGAGTGTAAATTTTTTTTTTTTAACATTCATACATGTGAGTATAAAATTAAAGTAGTACATTTGCACCTAATTTCAAGTTAACTTTCACTTTAGTTTCTTTAATCTAAAAAATTTTGTTTTAATTTTAACGAAATATGTGAACTTAACAAATTTAAATATTGACTCGATGATGAAAGATAATTAAATGTTGAGAAACCATGCTTTAAATTTTAACTTTCTTAGGGTCAACATAATTTTTATCCTTGAGTTTGTTTCTATTTTGATTTTGATCTTTCAAGTTTAAAATTATAAGTTTTGGTCCGTCAAGTTTTTATCTATTTAAAATAATGGTCCATATAATTTAATAAAAATCTGGACCATTTTGCTCATTGAGGGACCAAAACCTATGATTTAAAATTTAAGAGACGAAAACTAAAATTCATGCAAATTTAAGGGACTAAAAATTATATTAATCTATTTTTTAATATAATCATTTTTATGCTCATTATAAATACTTAAAATTTTAATATTTTTAATATTTCATTAGACATTTTAATTCTTTAAAATTAAAACATACTTTGTCAACATTTACTTATTATCATTTAAATTCACTGAATTATTATTTTTCACTAAATGAGACTAATAATATTAAAATTAAGGAACTGAAATACACACAGCAGTGTTTGGTTTCCCAGCTTTCACACACGTCCGGACGAAGCTTTTCCCGCATAACTATAAGTATGAACATCACTCTGAACATTATGAAATTGTTTTTCATAATTGGTGATCCATTCAAGAAGTATCAACTTAAAATTAATGTGTTTGGACAAGTAAAAGCTGTCATTTTCAAAGCGACAGTTCTCCCTATTCCCGCTTTCTTTTCCCCTATTGACCATGTCCATTGTCCAGCCAGCACTCCCTCGTGAAGGAACCAAACATATCTGATATATCTTCCTGATTTGAGTCATGATTCTATAAATTGTATTATTTGGATTGGTAAAACAAAAAAGCTTGAAACTTTGAGTGAAAGATGGCCAAAAAAAACAAAGAAACTTTGAGTGAAAATAAGGGATTTAAGCTTGATATGGATATGGAGCTTCTTTGCAATGATGTGTGTTATTTGTTTTCCAAATGTTATGAGTATTGTCAGATAGTAGCCAAAATTAATCTCTTTTAATATATGGAAAACAGATTATAAGGATTTTCTTAACTAAATTTGCTCTATATAAAAATGTTAAATTGGAAACCAAACCTTCAATCAAAGAGCCAAAGAACCCTGTATGATTCTCAATGCTCAATAAAGAATACGATTGTTGAATATTCATTTTTCATTTTACATTACATTGTGATTATGATGTCAATGGAAAGTTGTTCAATCATGACGCAGTTTATTACACTTAGATAAGGTTACTAATACCCAAAGATACTCCTCCGCTCCTTAATATAGGACCCAATTGTTGAGTTGATTTTAGTCTTAAATATAAGACTTATTTTTTATATTTATCGATTTTCTCTAAATTACTCCTATGGATACTCCCTCAACTATAATCAAATAAAAGAGGAAGAGAGGTATTAAGAAAAATGATTATGGTATTTTAGGAAAAATATATTACATTTCTTATAATTAACTAACTTACCTGACTTCCTTAATTTAATCAAATTAGTTAAATGGGTATTTTATTAAGGACCAAAGGAGTACTTGATGGACTAGTTAGATCACAAAATGAGCAAAATGAGTTTGAGTCTCATCTTACTAAAAGTTTTTTTGAAAAGAGACATCATTATAAAGTTTTGATCCAAATTAGTCAATTGATCAGATACTTGATTATAGGATCTTAATTTAAATTTGATGTTAACATGACGTAAGTAATTAAATTAATTGTATTAAAAAAGATTGTGATTATGAAACTCAAACTCATGACTTACAAATTGCACTTTTTATTACAAGAAAATTTGACAAGTAACAGTTTCATTATTTAACACCAAGACCACTAATTTACAACTTTCATACTTCCAAAATTTACAAGTTACTATGAGTATTTATCATTTGAAGAAGACTGACAATTTCATACTGTAAATTTATTGTTTTTGCAAAGAAAGATCATAAGCCTTTATAATAACTTTATAAATTCAGGATTCGCACAGATAAAATATTTGTAAATTGATTTTCCTGATAAAAATGTGCTTGGATAAATTAAAAAAAGGACATATGGGTAATAAAAACATAACAAAATTATCAATTTATTCAATTTAAATAATAATTTTTGGTGGGTCACATCGCCAAAACGGCAAATTGCACAGTAAAAAGGACCATTAAACATTAATGGAAGTAAGAAGACAAGGCATGAAGAGATTGGTAGGTGGGGGCCCTCTGCTTCAATACTGGCCACCAAAGTGCTCCTAACCATGCAACCCTCTTTAGTATCTACGCAGCTCATCTCTGTACATATATTTATAATCACACACACACACACACACACAGCTTTTTGCTTTTCCTTCAACAGAAGCAAAGATATTATGGAAGATCCAGGAGATCTATAACCAGACATTTTCACAGATGATCCTTTCAAGGTAGTGCAGGCCAAATCGTCTCAAGAAGTGGGTAATTGTCATATTTGTTAAGAGTAGCTTTTGGACTATTAAATAAACGGCATCATATTTACCACAAATCACGCATAAGCCTACTTCTTTCCTGCTTCCTACATGCTGCGAAGTATCTTCCATTTATTATGGAGCAGAGCTTCCTGTGCTGGAACCCACTTGTCCTGTATGTAGCTCATCATCGACTTTAGGCCACAAAAAATTCTCAATACTTCAAAATAATCTCATTCCATGCGAGATGTGAACTTTTATCTATCTTATGTGAATAAAGTATAGGTTTTCTAAAGATATTACGTGGCTTCTGTTTTGGTCAATAAACTTGTTAGGTGACTCGTCACTTCATAAATTGGTCATTTTAATTTTATCACCTGTAGCATTGACTATCACATGGAACTGAAATTTTTTACTGTGTAAAGA